TTGGAGTTTGAGAAACATCGGATTTATCGATTTTTGACAATTTTTGGGAATTTTGCAACCTTCAGAATATCGATTTTATCGATTTTTGACAATTTTTGGGAATTTTGCAACCTCCAGAATGTCGATTTTATCGATTTTTGACAATTTTTGGGAATTTTGCAACCTTTAGAATATCGATTTTCGCCAATTTTCGAAATTTCGCAACCTCCACAATGTCGATTTTATCGATTTTTGACAATTTTTGGGAATTTTGCAACCTCCAGAATATCGATTTTATCGATTTTTGGCAATTTTTGGGATTTTTGCAACCTCCAGAACACCGACTTTATCGATTTTTGACGTTTTTTGAGGTTTTGATAGTTCTCTAACTTCAAAATATCGATTTTATCGCTGTTGAGCTGTGAACTGTAAGCCCCGCCCACTTTTGATGTTATTATACACCTAATATATGTATATTTCCTTCCACTCACTCCATAAACAATACCGATCATAATTCGTCAAAAAAGTCGCCGGAGTGCGGCGCACTCCGCCACACTCCGCCGCACTCCGGCGCACTGCGCCGCACTCCGCCACACTCCAACGCACTCTAGCGCACTCCGCCGCAGTCCGCCACACTCCGACGCACTCCGGCGCACTGCGCCACACTCCGCCACACTCCGACGCACTCTAGCGCACTCCGCCGCAGTCCGGCGACTTTTTTGACGAATTATGAGCGGTATTGTATTAAACAGCCCGCCTTACAGCTTGATTTTGCATTCAAAAAGGTGTGTGAATGCTGGACCAAAGAACTACCTCCGACAGAAAAATTTGATGTCCTTACGACCAAAAAACCTTTATTGGAACTTTAAGTACAAGAATAAGCAGGGTGATTGTGGTAACAGTGGTATCTCATGATCAATGCACGATCTTTCTTTTATATGTACTATGCTGCTTTGACGTCAATTCTCAACGCTAAAGCAGCATGGCACATATAAAAATGTAAGAAACATATTATTCAATTCAATAAGCGAGCTCTACATGACGGCATTGCAAAAAGCTCGATTCACGTGAAGTTGGCCGGCAAAATTACTTAAATTAATTTAAATAGGATCTTTGCCTACCCGGACTTAACAGGCATTGTCTGGAAACAGCGATGCAGCAGCTTGCTGGAACAGGTGCCGGAAGCGCTGTATGCCTGCTTATCTTATCGCGGCTTTTGTAATCTGCAGGACCACTCCGGCTGGGAAGGCGACCAAGTCGGGGTATATAAGGCTGCGCGTGAAAGCAGCCCTCGCATCTTTGGCTTTCGTTTGTGTTATTAATTGCTTCCTTTCATACTTGACTATGTTTACAGCAGCTCCCGCATGAGAAATTTTACGTTGAGACGTTGAGTTTAGAAACGAGGAAAATGGAGCTGGGAAGTGCACCGTTTTAGTTGGGTCTTTAGCCACCAGCCCTGATGGAAAAACTCAGAATCTTTTTTGCATGGATTAAACCGAACTGTTCGGCCTGTCCCAATACTTTTGGTCATCCCTACTTGAGGACCTTCTAATTTAGTAGCTTCTTGTTGTGTATATTTTTATACTTTCTATTTGACACGTAAATTTATTTAAATTAGATAGATAAGGTGGATTGTTGAGGTGACCAGTCCAATGGACGCGCCGAAGTGGGCGTCGGTAGCGGACGCTTAACATCCAAGGGTGTAGGGTTAGCGAGATGAGATTCACTCTAACATAAAGAACGCATTAGTAGAGCACAGCTTTGTTTTTGAATTGGTGCAGGTATACTCTGACATGAATCGAGCGCTTCGTTGAAAAAAGAATTGAAAACTGCGCGAACTTATGAAATGACGTGTTGCAAAAATAGAGAAGGCAGCAGCAACAATGAATATGAGGTTCACTTCTATCAGGTTGGGAAAAAAAGAATGCCTCTTTTTATCTTCAGAAAAAAGTGTGTGGGTATCATCCGGTACCATCCGGTAGAGTAAGGGAAGTTCTACAAAATGGCACTACTGCTGTCGCATCAAGTTGTATCCATGTGAAGTTCGAAGATGGAACCTAAAAAGTTCCAACCTTTCAACCGAGAATCAAAATTTTCATATCTCATTCGAGAAAAATTCTGCTGACCCTAAACTTGCTCACGGATATATGTACTTTCCTCATCAAACATTCATATGCGCAGTTGGGTGATTCATGCTTGAGTGAGAAATTGAAAATTTTCATTCTTTCGCCAGAGTGATGCGGGGCTGTTTACGCGTGAGATTTCTATACTATTGTACTTGGCTTGGAAAGTACAAAAGCAAATTTTCCAGCCTTCTACAAAAGATAGTTGTTGAGAAATGTCAAACTCAGCTTTTTTTCTTCTGTTCCCCAAATTCAATTCAATATTTCACGAGAACTAACTCTTGAAGAAGACTGGAAATCTACGGTTGTACTCCCCAAGCAAAGTAATATTATATCACTTACGCGGGAACAGCCCAACATCACCTTGGCGAAGACATAAAAATTTTCATTTTTTCGACGTCTAGCCAAGAATTAAAGCAAATGCGGATATGAATTTAATGAGGGACTCAGACAGTCGAAAGGGCCTACCTCGGCGGGCAAACGGTGCGAGTCTGCCACTTCGCGCTCTGGAGCGCTCCGGAGCCCTGCCATTTCACCCATTTTAATGCTCCGGGGCTCTCCCAAATCTGGCGCACCTTTGGAGCAGAGAATTGCGCGTCCAGAAGAGGGGTCCCATTCGTTCACCGTGACGTCACGGTGACGTCACGATGACGTCACAAGCAGGCGAATGGGACCCCTCTCCGGGACGCGCAAATCTCTGCTCCGGATGGGAGAGCCCGGCACCAAAATGGGTGAAATGGCAAGGCTCCGGAGCGCTCCAGAGCGCGAAGTGGCAGACTCGCGCCATTTGCCTGCCGGAGATATCCCTTCGACTGTCTGAGGATGTATGCCCGTGAGCAAGATGGGGGTCTGTAGGAATTTTTCAAACAAAGATGGATTTTTTTTTGATTTTTCTCATTTGAAACTTATGGATTCCACCTTCGAACTTCACGTGGATATAACTTGGTGCAAAAGCAGTAAAGCATTTTGTGGAGCATGCTTTGCTTTATTGAATGGAACCCATTCACCTTCCTGGGACTTGATGAAAAGCGACATGCTTTTCATTACAGCCTAATAAAGACATCTGAGTTTATCTGCAGCATGTGGTTGGCCACAAATAACAACGCTTTAATGCAAACTCGATAAAATTAAGACTTTGTTTTTGGGGTTTTTCGTCACACCGTGGCCCAGAGTGTTTCAACTCCATCTCAGGAAGAGTATCTCAAATTAATATGAACAAAACCATTATAAGGTTCGACCGAGTACATAATCAAATCTCACCGAGAAGGCATGTATGGTGCCATTTAGTGTTCAGTACACTAAGCATAGAAGACTTAAGAAATGTTCATCCTTATGACTTCGACGAAACGTTCAGAATCTTGATATCTGAACACTGCAATCCAAATCTTTTGTAAAAAGTCAAGTCTGGCTTTGCTGCTATAACGGTACATTACATCTAAATCGTGAGCAGTCGGAATTGTCTTTGATATGTCAAAGAATTAGATTAATGACCCACACAAAGAAACTGAGTTTTGTAGATGAGATGGCGCCGCAAATTTGCAGCAACTCAAACAAGTGCTGACTGGTAAAGAGAAAATGCCGACTGTTAAGTCTCCACTCTCGAAAAGTGAGATCTTTCTTTCTGGCACATCTTGCTTGAATGTACGTTGTTGCAGAGACTTTGGCGTAGGACAATCATTTCTCCAATTTAACACATTGACGACAATGTGACCCACATGGTGGGTCATGCAATGACCGTGGTTTTAGAAGTTCTATTGTGCTTTATTCCTAGGAGTTACTTCCGAATTTCTTAGCTGCTTCTCAAAATTACTGTAGGGATACTGCAGATTCCTATGAAATCAGTTTCGCAGTTTAAGCTTTCGCTGTCATATACATATAAGCCTTACAGAACGCAAATGAAGAAGAAGCAAAAATCAAATTTCAGAAGGATTTTATCTTTCTTTTGACATAGCTATTATCTCTGAAAATCCTCGATGTTTAGAATCGCAAGCATATTTTGTCATCAATAAATAGCAAATACTCAAAAAGTATTTATGATTTGAACAATACTATAGAGTCCCAAGGTTTAGTCTTTTTTTGAGCAATTTATAATATTCGTTTTTTTCTTTAAGGTTAATCATCTTGACGTCGCGAGCTTGAAACAAGTGTACAGCTGCTGGACCCAGCTTTTCTTGTTTTATTTTATCACTTATAACGTGCTCATCGATTGTCTCAAAAAAGTTGTTGAGGATAACGGCTATTGAAAGCAAATTATGACAAGAAATTGTACAGGCAAGACGATCTGATATAAAAGTTGTGCACATGCTATTACACCGTTCGTTTACGAGTATAACGGCCTGAGTTAACAAACAAATTCTAAGGTTTTGTGCAGAAACGTGTATGTTTTAGGAATAATCAATCTTCGATCACCTGTGTTTTTAGGCTTGCAATATCGGAGAAATCTATTAATGTTCAACAGGATAAAAGCCGATAGTATTAACGCAGAAAACACCATTATTTCCGCACCAATCTTCTACCTTTTGATTTTTGGCAGAAGTAAAGCCGTTTTCAGATTTGCTGCCACTAAATTTTCACTCCTTTTCCATAAATATTTTGGAACTATTAGCGTTTCTTTTTTGAGAAAATAGCTGATTTTCTTTCTAGAAAGCTGACGCACTAACATTCTGGGTTCTTTTTTTTCAGTTAACAACGTCTTAATGTTTCCTTTTCGGATGTGACTGAGCAAATGCCCATAATATCGCACAAAGTCGCTTATATCCGCTTATATTTGCGTTTTCCCTCCTAACTTTTTCATCCGTAAGTCCATTCCATAGAAATAGCACAGAAAAGAAACTATAAAAGCACTTTATTGATAACAAAAAGGAAATATACAGAAAAGCTCCGAAGAATATAAGCAGATTATGCGCAGCTGCCTAGAGCCCCATCCCATTTTCCGCTGACGCAAGTGGCGGTGGACGGTCCTGGAAATAAATATCTCTGTTGATCAGTGGCGTACCCAGGATTTCCGCTCGGGGGGGGGGGGGAGATGCGACAAAAATTTTTTTGAATAAAGGCGCGTGGCGTTAGCCACGCACTCCGAAAAAATTTTAGGGATGCTTTTCAAAATTTTTGCGGGTACCCAACCCCTAAAATTTGGAAAAAGGGGGCGTGGCGTCAGCCATGCTCACGAAAAAAATTTTTTTACAAAGCTAATTTGAATATTATTTTAATTATTTGCAAGTTCGGGTTGTCCGGAAAATAATGTCGCATGGCATCCTACCGCGACAGAATGACCACAAAAAACATCGAGTGGGGTATCATTCGATAGAGCAAGGCAAGCTCTACAAGCTAGTTCACAAATCTCTGCGGAGATGTTGCTCCAACTGAAGTTCGAATCCAAAATATAAAAAATTTCAGACGCCCGAAAAATCGTATCTCCGTCCACAGACGTCTGAGGGATCTCCAATTTGCACAGGCATGTACTCTCCACACTAGACATTCACCTGTATAGTTTTTGGTATTTTTCCATGGCTACAGTACGAGAAATAAAAACAGGTCAAAAGTGCGAATATGTCGTGTTTTTCGGGTTTTTTGCAAACAATTAGATTTTTCTCGAAAACTAGCGCTTGTATAAAGTTGAAAATTCATGGTTATACTCCTAAAGGTTCATGCTACAGAATCACCCCATGTGAGAGAAGCTCAGGATTGCTTTGGCAAAAACACGCCAAAATTGGTTTTCTCAATTTTCAGCCATGAAAAAACCTCGAAAATGCGCGTACGAGTGTCTCGTATAGTGAGTTCATGCGTGAGCAAGTTAGGGGTCCTCAGGACTTCTCTGAACGGAGATACGGTTTTTTTCGTTTTTTTTTTCGGATCTTGAGTGCCTTGTGAAATTTGGCTCCAAATTTCACGCAACTCAAAACTGACGCGAAGGTTCGAGCTTCACTTTGTAGAGCTTGCTCTGATCTATCGGTTGATACCCCATTCACATACTTTCGTGCGCACCCTGCTGCGATATTGCATGATAAAACAAAAAGCGACATTATTTTCCGGACAACCATATATAAACAAGTCACCTTACTTAGACGACTCGTCTATTCTGAAAAAACTTAGGTTAACATCGTTTTCTTCCAAAAACTATTCGCTTTGAATCTCTGCCTTTGAACCTTTGATCTCTTTTGCTACTGTTTGTCTGTTGTTTGCTATAACATACCACTTGGTTCTGCTCCAGGATGACATCTCAGCTTAGCAACGGCTCCATCATCAAGCTGCTCTTTTGGTCGAACCACGATCTTGTTTTTCATGTGATACATGATGCGAGCCTTCGAATCATCCGGCAACGGATCGCATGAACCCTCTAAGAATCTCTATCATTATACGAAAACAATAAGTCATAAATTATGCTCATACCTGCTTCAGCCACAAAGAAAACTGAAATAGAAAGAGATAAAATGACCAGCGTCTTCATTAAGACCTCGTCGTCGAATCAAATGCAATATGCTGCTAAAAAATGCAAAGGAAAAAAACACATGTAAAAAAAGAACATGTAGTTTCGATCTAACAATCTCATGTCACATACGGCAAGATGGAAAAATAGAAAAAAAATGACAAGATCGAAAATGCCACTCACTTGTTCGATACAGATATCAACCTAATCGGTCGCTGTTGGGATCACGCAGAGTAAACATCACCAGACCAATTTGTCTTTTACGCCGTTAATCCTTTGCGGGGCTGTGGACAACATCAAATGCCTTGCTGTACAGAAAAATTATGAATTGAGTTCTTCTGAATCAACTCAAATGGACCCGTAAAGTTGGAAGATACATTAGTAGGGTTTTGGCATGCAAAAAGTGGGATTCAAGCATTTGTGCGAGGAATCTGGATTGATAGGATGAGTCAGACAATAGCATAAACTACTTATGTTGAAATACATACAGTTATGTCAACAGAATACAAGCAATTACTGTTGTAAGGCTGAAAATGCGTCCTTTAATTTTTACCCCATTTCGTAATTTTTGTTTCGGCGACGTTGTCAGCTTTGTTCTGCTCATAATTCTAAGCATTATGCTTCTAAGTGTAAAGGGAATGGCTGCTTGACAACTTTATTGGAAAAGGAATCGAATTCCACTTCCTGACAACTTTATTGGAAAAGGAATCGAATTCCACTTCCTGGGTCCCCGACTCCAAAGTATCACTTTGTACTATTCCGGAAGTTCCGGCACATTTTCAAGCACTGCACTTGCTGCAGCCACCGAATGCGGTATCGCGCAGAGGAAAGTAGCAGTTTTCGACCTTCCAACTGTTTTCATCAAAAATTTTGCCGAATTTTCGTCCCATTCTTGTACCTGCTTCCTACTGTGAAGAAAAAGGGTACAAACTTTTGAGAATTGATGCCTTCTATGGGGTCGTATAAAAGCTGTATCTTTCTTTACACGTATGTTTCTTTCCATAAGTTCTTTGTCGTAATCCCTATTTGTATTTCAGAATTCACTGCGTCTTGATATAACGAGGGATCTTAAAGCAAGACTGATACAATCTCCATTCACCTAAATTGCGAATTTTTGCATGTGTTTCAGTGAGACTGGATTTTTGTACGAGTCGGTCCGCTTTCCTCTCACGAAACATACTGCTTGCTCGTTTATTCTCGCTTACCGTTCCCCTTTTTTTTTGGGAAAACTCAGATGGAGTGCTGTCTTAGGATGAAGATGGTTTCGGTTCGAGATAAATCTCACCTAACGCACAAAACGAAGTAGTGTTTATTTCTGAACACCGCCCAGATTTTGAACTATTCCATCACAAGAAGAAGCTAGGTACAAGATTGTGTCGAAAACGAGCAAGGCTATGCTATAGAGTGGCGGGAGCAAGCAAGGCTCCCGCCACTCTATACCACAATGCATGTTACAGTTCGAGCGCTGTGCTGGAATTATGGCAGAACTTACGGATCAGTGATGAACCCCGCCTAAACTGCACTTGACTCCGCAAATTTCATGAAGACCATGATCTGAGAACGCTTTTGAGATCATTGTAAATCGTGGATTTCAGCGAAGAAATTTATAGTTTTCAAGCAGTGAGATGTAGAGTCTATCACAGCTTTCAAAAATTCTGGAAAAAGCTCACCATCACTTTTTGAAGATCGCCTCATTTTGCATTTTGAAGAGACCATAGTTTCCGAGAAACTGCAGCGCCATCTTCTTGGAGTTGTACGAATTTATTAGGTTGTGTAATAAGTTCTGTCCCATTTTTTCTTTCAACATTTTCTCAATATTTTGCGCGATGTTCCGTAAATTGTTTATATGCATTTAGCTCTAAGCCTTCTCTACCAAAACTTTCATTTCGGATTCCTACATCAGATGACCTGAAAAAGTTTTATAGCGTAAAATTTGGAAAATCAAATAGGGAAAAAGTCCATTTTCGACAACTACGTTACGTCACCTTTCTAATTAGTCAGAATGCCTACGAATAAGCTCGGAGAATTTGCTACACGTAAGCAAAGAATGCTCTAGCTTCTATTGCGGTTCAGGAGTGCTGAAACTTTTCAAAAATCATTTCTGTAGACTTTAGTAAAGTCTTTTTCCTAACGCCTTTTCAACATTGGTGTTGGGCATCATCTGAAGGCATACTGAGGGAAGACGGTAGGCGAATCATTCAGAAATGACGGAAGGGATGGTTTGCGGCTTCAAAATTATCGATTTCCTAGGTGAATTCGAATTTTGGGAGCCACACAGCTTGAGTACGCGAGACGGCGAGCATCGCAGTGACAAAGTCTTGCCTTGCCGACTTTTGAAAAAATGTCATTAAATAGCCGGTGGAAGGAAAGGAACATGCGCAAACAGTGATAGAATAAGTGTAAAAGTTTAATAGATTGTTTTGGTTGTTGCTTAAGATTGTTTAATAAGTTTTACCAATAAATCGAGAAAAATTTGCAGGAAAAAAGATGTCGAAAATTGATTTTTCGGCTTTTTGGATTTTTTTATTTCAACGATAAAAATCTTTTTCACTTTCCTGCTATGTTGGGGAATGATGCATATGAGCCTGCAGAACAGACTTAGAGCTTTAAATGCATATACGCTTTATCTCAAATACGAGCAGGCATCCCGGGTTTCACTCCGGTTCGGAGCCAATCTATCATCTAAACTCCCCATCCTACACACCCTGCACACTTTGCACACCCTGCACACCCTGCCCACCTGCACACCCTGCACACCCTGCACATATTGCACATCCTGCACATCCTGCACACCCTGTACACCCTGTACATCCTGCACATCCTGCACACCTGCACACCGTGAACACCCTGCACACCCTGCACACCTGCACACCCTGCACACCCTGCCCACCTGCACACCCTGCACACCCTGCACATCCCCCACATCCCTGCACACCTGCACATCCTGCACATCCTCCACATCCCTGCACACCCTGCACATCCTCCACATCCCTGCACATCCTGCACATATTGCACATCCTGCACATCCTGCACAACCTGCACAACCTGCACCCGAATGCGTACAAACAAACCCACAGATTTTCTGCTTATATATATAGAGATGTACAACCTGCACCCGAATGCGTACAAACAAACTCACACATTTTCTGCTTTATATACAGGGTGTCCCAAAAGTAAGTACACACTTTTCAATCGTCAATATCTCTCTTCCTAGTGCGTCTTTTTCCACCTTTTAAGTACCATTGTGTAGAGAAGGCTTCAACTTAGATTTACAAAATCGAGCAAATCACCGATCTCTCTTCATTACTGTAGGATTACTGTAAGAACTCTCAGCAAGGATTTTAGGCATTGAGAGTCATATTTGCCTCGGAACAAGACGAAACAAGCCAAAAACTCTTATACTATGGTAGTGGAAGCCGCTGATTTCGAATATGAAACTTTCACTTTTCTGTGATGCTTCTTTTCAAAGTTATCCCAGGTAAACCGTAATAACCGATTTCCCAGTATTTGTCAGAGTTGTGATTACACCGTCAAAAAAGCTGAAAACACTTGTAAAAAGTTGTGTAGTGGCAGAGTTTGCGAAAACCCTAGTATGCGATTTTTCAGATTTTTGAAAAAAATTTCGTCAGATGGCGTATCTCAAAATGGTTCCATATGCTGGAAGTTCTAACCGTAATCCTACAGTAACAAGGAGCAATCGGTGATTCGATCGATACTGTAAATCAAAGCTGAAGCTTTCTCTACAGGTACTCAACTGGCAAAAAAAGACCCAATGGGAAGAGAGATATTGACGATTGAAAAGTGTGTACTTACTTTTGGGACACCCTGTATATAGAGATAGTCAATGTTGTCAAGAAAAAATTGAAACAAAAAATGGGACAGAATTTATTACACGACCTAATACATGACGTTGAACTGAAACAGGTGGAATGTACGACTCGATGAACCCGGCATAACGACATTGTATTTTGTGTTGTTTGTAAACCGTGACAGAGCTTCTTAAATACTTTATCGATTGACGTTTCGGCAGAATGCCTTCTTCTGAGCCTAAAATGGGTAATGTAATCTGCAGCAAATAGCAAAGTGTCAAGATTTTTGTTGTATCACACCTCAGTTGATAGCCGATAGCGAAATGCTAATCTTTTGGGCGCCGACGAGATTTGATGCTAGAGCGAGATGACGGTGGGGCGCAAATTTACATGCAGTCGCCGGTCATTTCTCTTTGCAATTCGTTTTTGTGCTTTTCGTAATCCAAAAACTTCGAGACATCTGCGAGCTGGCTCTGGTATTCGTGCGCCAGGATTTTCACTGAAACTCGCGATCGTAAAGACAATTGCGAATCAAGAAGGTTTTCAAATTACTCGGAAGCCTTTCTACAGCCGTAACTGAATTTTGTAGCTTTGCTTTCCTCTCTGCTCTCCTCAGGCACCGTCGCAATGCAGTGCTCACTTCATCGGAACCAAAGAGGATGAAGGCTATCTTCTCGATTGCTGAGTGTTCGCTTATAATAGGATGCTGATCACTCCTACTCCTGCCTTTGCGTGATTTTCGTAACCATTGGAAGAAGCTATGCTGCGGGCAAGCGCCAATGATTCTACCCCTGCCCGTTGTCCACTGCAAAGCTTGCTGTGCGAAACATTTTTTCGTATACCAGCTCATTTTGTATAAAGCGAGTGTGCTTATCGAAAGTGGATAAGACTATTTTTATTGCTTTGCTTGCGATAATAACACTTAGTTGCGTGCATACCCGAAGAGATGTTGATTTGCACTGTCAGAAACGTTGATCATTTGCTGCTGGGCTTCCCCTAGGTAAGCCTATGTACTGTGTTTAGTCGTTGACTGTTTGGAAGCATTTGTTAACACCTGCTTGAGTGGCGCAGATGACAAAGCAATCGTCTACATATCTACACTAAAGCAAGGGATGGCACTCCAAGATTGGCGTTTCCACTTGTTTTGAAGACGAGTATGGAGGGTAACCACTGTGCCATTGTCAGACCTCTGATCTGCGCAAAATAGCCTCCAGACACCTAAAAATGTTGCAGTCCGAGCACGTCTGCAAAAGGTCATAACCTGTATTAGAGAGCCCATAAAAGTCTACAAAGTTTCCGTTGCCTATGAGAAGCTTAGAGAATGCTTGCGTTATGCGCTAACATCAAACGATCCATAATGCAGTTACAATCAATGTGCGCTGTGCGCAGACGGTACAAAAACCTTTTTGTGTTGGCTAGGTGCGAAGGAGTTTTGAGTAGTCGCACCAGTAGGCCGTTGATAAACCACTCAATCCTATCCGCAAGCACGTTCCTTATAATCGACTCGACCGCGCTTTGAACTGCTACTACTTTGAATCGAAAGATTTTTCATGCTGCTACTGCTTACTTATGAGATTAGATTATCAACATCAGGTTGAGAAAATTTGCAGTAACAAAATAATTTACTGCATAACTATACACATTGCTATTTACACCAGCAGCATAACAATGACAACAATTGCAGTTAGAACGATTTTTGCCAATGTTGCATGATTCGTTCTGTTCAGTCTGGCTCGCACTGCTACACGAGTATCACTTGTAAGGACGTCATCTATGCGAAGAATTCTGAAAATGTCATAAGTAAAATCAGTTAATTATAACTATCAAGTTTAATAATTCCTCGCTATTTACTATTTTTGCTGAATGAGCTACATTTTAAAAAACAGGTTGATATTTACCTGCCACATGATGTATTGCAATCATCAATACGTAGAATGGCGCACATTAGAGTGTAGACGTCGCACAATTCCAAAGGTCCTTTGTGGAAGCCTTTGCGAAAGACTAAACACAGATATAACGGTCTGACACTATGGAGAAAAGCCTCTCTATTTCTATGAACTTCAAGGCAAGTCATGACAAGCTGAAGCTTACAGACAGTATATGGCAAAAGCGCTTTCGTCTATTCAAGACTTTCCGAGCTCGATATGGGCGAGAAAGGGTGGGGGGGGGCTGATTGGTCTACTCGTAAAGAGTGCGACGATTGGGTGAGAGTTCAGATTGAATTAAGTGAGCATTTCCTGAACTATTCATGGCTAATGAGCTGACAAGTATTGCAGTAGTTTTTTTACTATTATAAATAAAAAATAATGTTGTGATTCATTTATTGCTAAATGTTCTTGAACTTGCATTGATATTCACCTGGACCATACGCAAGAAATACTCCGAGCATGTCCGGATAGTGGTTATTGTAGCCACTCATTCCAGCTTTGATTTCATTTGGATCTTGTGGTGGTATCTGTTTGGCGAGGTCGCGCTCAAGAATTTTACTTTAGAAAAGGTTTAATACGTAGCACTAACGACAACTCCTCATTATATAATAGAATGTTAACCTACCGTAACTATAGCATAACCAGGTTGCGCTACCAGAACTAGGTCCGGTACCGTAGCAGATTTCTTGTAGTGATACCATTCCGGAAGATCACCGATCTAGAATTGTGAAAAATCAGTTTGGCAAATAAGTGACTCTTCAATAAGAACGCAATTATAAGGCCACCAGACTTGCCCGCGTGCCAGCGCCGTGCTAGCGCCGTGCCAGCGCTCAACAAAAGCTCCCAGTATTGATCAAGGCTCCGGTAAAGCACTAGTAGGCGCTGGCACAGGCAACTCTGAATGCGGCCTTCCAGTTCTTGATCAAGTCTCTTATAATCAATAAGTAATCTTAGGTTTTAAAATGGGTTTACCGTCTGGTAGATTTGTTAATCAATTATAGTCCTTTGTGGTAACCACAACATTTGTTCGTGTAAACAGCCTGACACGCAGGATTCAAAATATGGGCTATAAAAGTTTTTGCGCGCTGATGTTGTCAGCACCGCAACGACACTCATTAATAGGAAAGTCTATGAAAATACACTAATTTAGTGCTGCCATGGTTCAGCTTACCTTCGGAGCCGTAAAATAGATCTTTACATTCGGAATCGGCGTATGATTCCGCAGTTGCGAATAAACTTGGTGTGTTTTACCCGGCATTGCGATCAACTGTTTTACCGCTCCACTACCTATCGACATTTGAAGCAGTTCCATAGGGAGGTAGTCATCCAAAACCCTAAACCGCATCATTTTTCCCATCTTTACTTTAGGTGGGTAAGGGTAAGTTGCTTACCTTATATTACGTTTAGGTACATCAATAAGACCATATGGTGAGACCACTATCACATTCAAATCAATGCGTTCCCGAGCTTGTGCAGTTAAACGTTCGAGAGCCTGCAAGAAAAGTTTTTGGAAAATTAGGGGGGGGAGGAATGAATATGAAGAAGCATGGTAGAAGGAGTGCAATGAAAATTCATAATCCAGTTTCTCTTTCAATACTGCGCCACTGCTATACTCGGCGATTTCATTTGTCTTACTGTAATTCTAAATGTCCGTAGCTGCACCTGTTGAAATTTGTCAACTTCTGTAGCTGTTCGGTCGTTGGATCTTCTCGGACCAATGTCCGCTATTTGTTCCCGAATGTTCGGATGGTAAACAAGCACGAGATCGTGAGATCTAAAAATCTCTTATTAAAAAAACTTTTGTTTTTTTTGGAAAAAATTTTAAATTCAGATCGCTGGAAAGCTTTAAACTCTCACAAAATAATGACATTCTTACTTCGTTGCTTCCACAACAATTTTTGCAACTCTTTCGTCAGCAAATGACATTCCATCATTTCGTGGTGGGACACAAAGATGAGGAGCTGGCACCCAATCCACCTAAAAAGTTCGTATAGATTTATAAAAATTTTTTGAGAAGTTAAGAATTTACGTTACACTCCGGGAAAAAGAACATTGCGACAGAAGCTTTCGCTTGAGTTGCCGTCACATAGATCGGATCCGTCATCCACCAATCACTGAAAATGCGAATTTCAGAAACAAATTTCTTTATCGGAAAAAAAAATTTGAAATTGTTGGAACCTTTTCCGAAAATCCGATTCTTGAGTGAAATTCAGGAACTCTAGCCCACTTCTCCAATTAAACACTATATCGCTCATCATACCGTGTTTTCGTGGCAGGACACCTAAAATCAAAACTTTACCACTGATTTTTTCCCCACTGTCATATTTTACAGTATCTTTTCTTAGAAATTCCTGTAATCTATTACGGATCTACAGCGCATCTAGCAGTTCCCCCGCATGCCGGAAATTTCAACTTACAATTAGAAATGCAAAACCTCAATTTTTTTGTGCACAGGGATTACGGTAGGTATATGGTAGAAGGACAATATTGCAGTAATGCAATACCTTTTCAAAAGCATTGCACATAACAATTAGAAATACTACATACATTCCTTACGAGAGGTTAGTATTATGATGGTGGTTACGGTAGATATACGGTACGGGACCCCACCCAAATTCAGGCTGACTATTATTTCGACATGACCAATCCATTTATGCAACGTTATGACGGCTTAACGCAACCTTCCCTCTTCCCACAAAACGATTAATGCTGAATATGTATAATTAGTTGTATATAACTTTCATCTGCAAAGTTTTAGAATCTAGACTCAGTAAATCAGCTTGAATTAAATTTGACATCCTGCTTTTCAAGTTGTGTACAGTGAAAGATACCGTTTTTATTTTGAAGAAAAGAATTTTTTTAGTAATCTCGTGAGAGTCGTTCTCTAGTTCCGTATTTACTGATTACTATGATTGACTGACTGCTCACCCGTCAACAACGTATGGCGATTTGGTAATGGAAGTGTGGGAAAAACAGGAAATAATCTCGTTGACCATACTCCTTCTTCTTCGAACAATCTCAAGCCAGATAGATGAGAAAAACGATGAAAGTACGCTCCACTAAGTCCTTCAGCTGAAAACCAAATCTTCATCGTTTGCTTCATGAGCCATGGGCACTTGAACGCATTGAATCTTCTATTCAGATTTTTTTTGTCTCCGAGAAAAGCGATCTTATAGTGAAAGTTCAAAAACCTGAATTCTAATTTGCAAAAAAAAAAAACTTTACCTATAACTACCACCAGCTTCTGAGCGTTAATATTTCCTAAAATTGACAGAAACACCCATGGCACACTGATCATCGCCGTCCAAGTTCATCCAGCATAACAGATATGTACTCTGAATTACACAGTAAAACAATTACCAAAAACTACAGCACAAGCTTATGGAAAGCGGAAAAACAATGATACTCCAATTTCGAAAGCAAGCAAATACATACGAGAAGCAGTCTTATTATTTTCTCTCCCACACTCCTTTAAAATGAGATATTCTGTTATGGATTTTCTTTTCTCACGCAAAGCTTCCGAAATTTCTCAGAGACTTTGAGTTATGTGGCAGAAGCGCAAAAGTCTATTAATTGGCGTGGTGATATTTTCAAAAGCTAAAACAGACAGACAACAATTTTTTAAAAAAGGTTCTCTTTACTCATTACAAATTTTTCAAAATTTAATTTCGAACATTTATTCTACTAAATACAAAACAACTCCGTAACTGATGAGTTCGGAACAAAAGCTGCAAATCAAAGAAAAGTTTTGAAAAAAATTTGAAAATTACACATCAGAAATTATTGATTATTATCGCGCCTATTAGCGTATTACATAAATAAATAAATAAATAAATAAATAAATAAATAAATAAATAAATAAATAAATAAATAAATAAATAAATAAATAAATAAAAAACATGAACATCGAACCCTTTCGAATAGAGCCAAGGTTTTAGCCGCGGCTATTCTTTTCGCATTCATTGGAGGCATAACCTATTTCCTATTTTTGGATTCGTCAAAATGAAGAAACATGTTGACTTTCAAAAAAACTTACAATTTGTTGGAAACAAGCCTTTCAATTTTTATTTTGTATCTCTAAAGATTAACAAATGATTTCTTTATGCAATTTAGCAGATGCAAACGATATCGACGAATAAAGAGAGCAAGATCAAGATAAGAGTATGGTAACTAAATAAATATATTAGGTTGTCCCGAAAATTTTGTCGGTTTTTTCAAACCGCTGTAAAACCACTTACAATAAAGATCTGAGTGAGTGTCGAAATGCATTTGATGCAGCTTTTCCTTCTCTTTCTTATGGTTACATCTTCATACCACAATCTTTTATGCTTTTTTTGATAATTGCTAAAATTCTACACCAGTCAATTTTACCTGCTCAAAGTTAGGCTAATTTTTAAAAATTTCATTTCAATGTTTCGAAAAGGGTTAAGCATGGATAAAATAGAGCAAGTCTCGGACTACAAAGTAGTATTTTTAGATTCTCCTAATCTGTTATTTTTAGCTTCAAGAAATTATTTCTCCTAAGGTCTCCAGTTTTGGCAAAGTCATGAAACACGCAACTGCATCAAATACACGAAAGCTTTTATAGTTTCTGCGTATTGAAACATGATCCTTATCAAGCATTATTTATGCAACATAACCAACTTTGATTCGCTTTGAAAAAGCAGCTTTTTTGATTTTCTGGTATTTTTACCTGTTAAACTTAATCAAAAAGCCGCGGTTTTTATTAAATAAATGATTATAACGGACTTGGTAAACGCGGGTCATTTAATTTAAAATGGAGACAATGTAACCAAAGGTTTGCTCTACATAACAGTAACCAGCGCTCTTTGGAAACATCAGAGTGAAAATATCTAAAATTCATTAAAGATTTCGCGTTATCACTGAGCTGCTCAAAAAGCCATAGCGATAGCATTGCAACGAAGAGTATATCAGAGAGCAAGTATAACTGTAAGAAAGAGAATAAAAATCTAAATCAAATGGTACCTAAGCCGTCCATGGATTGTTGTTCTGTGAGTTTTAGTGAGCGGTGAAAGAAACCGACAAAACTTTCGGGACAACCTAATATATTGTTCCAATAGTTGCAGCCTATGTTCTCCCCCCCTCCCCTCCCACTTTCACTCCCAGCCCGTCACAGTTCAAAGCATTTTCAGAAAGTCGTAAGTTGATTGAAAGTCAGCAAAACCAAATCCGTGGTCCACAACTCATTTATACGAATGCAGATGCACGTAGGATTTGGAAAGTGCAAGATTTGTACTTCCAGATTTGCAGATCCTTTAGATTTAAAGTGAAGGATGTAGCTTGAGTTTGGAAGGAGAAAATTGTAATCGCAATGGCCACAAACGCTCAAGGAACGCAGAACGTCATATAATAAAGGAGAAAGGCGGGAATGGAGGCGATGGAAATCGAAAATATCGCTTTAAAGACTTGTAAAAACCCAAAATGCTTATCAATGTCGGCTATAGCTTGAATAGAGTCAATACTTTTGTTGAGAAATGAGAGAAGAGTATAGCGACTCATTCCCACGGTGAGAATTTTTCTCAAATAGAATTTCTCAGAACGGAGAACGCAAACAGAAGGTAAAGAATACGTAAAAGGATTTTCTGAAGCCTTTTTGTTGTTTTGCTAACTACTTTTGTGCATGAGGAGTCATAAATAAATGAAGAGTTTTCCACGAGAGCACCTTTGCACAGGAAGGATGCGACTACATATATATCAAACGTAAGTGCCACAAGCTTAGTACACTGTCAAATGCTATAGAATCGTCATAAAATCTCAAACCATCAAAATTAGTTCAAGAGTAGAAAAAAGTGAAGCTATATATTGACTCTATCCTAATATCTGCAAGTTGCCCTACTTTACAAGTGCAAGAAACGCTACTCGAGTCACTCATTTTGACGTGAATGTGGTCGTAGAGCGGAAAGTTTGGCTCATAAACGAAATATAGCTGAGTTATGGAACAGCTGTAGTCAAATTTCTTCGATTTATGACCAACACTGAGCTTTACAATGAATAAGTGCAAGTTCAAGTAAGTTGAAGACCTCTAGAAAATGCTGAAACAGATTTTGCTGACTGAAAGAGAGATAGAGAGATGAACGGAAAGGAAAAGGATGTTCAAAGAAGAAGTGAGGATAATAATGATTGAGTGTATTACAAGAATGAAGAATGACTGACATCTAGTTAGATTAGCTAAAAAATAAGTTTACTTTGACACGCAAACCTCTATAACCTTTGGCGAGTGACAATAAAAATTGTGATTTGCCATTTTGAGAACCATTGGAAGAAAAGAAAATTTCACGCATTTACGCGCATTGAAATAGAGTATCTCATTTCTTTGTGCCTTTGCTTCTACTCAAACAGAATGCGCAGTCCAATTCCTTTTGAACTGTTCCTTCAAAGACTTCAAAGATAATGGGCCGCCGCAAAATCGACCGAAATCATATACTAGCCAAACTAATGACCGTGAAAATTCAGACTAAACGGAGCTACACCTACTAGAAGACACGTATCACAAGAGAAATTTCTTAAAGCAACCTGAAGCATTTAGAAGGGTCTGGGAAAGGGTTTGAAGCTTTTTTGTCAATAAAAAATTTATAGGTTTCTAAATTGGAAATATTTGTTGTCCTACACTATCACATCACACGTAACACGATTCATTTAGTTTTCCTTTACATTATATACATAATATATTCCTTCAAGATTTCGGTCATTTTAATGCTATTTGCTTATTAGAATGACTTGTACGTTTTCTAAATTAGACTCTAAATCTTGCACAAAAAATTATGAAAATCATTTTGAAATTGGTTAAAAGCGCCTCAATTTATATCATATACTTTATGTTAAAACTAATGATAGTCCATACTTTTTGAGAAAATCAGAGATTTGATCCAAATTACAATAAAGATATACAAGAAATTTTACTCAAAAATCTTGTTGGGTCATAGAATCATACGACCAGAACAAATTCAAAAAAACTGATAGTAAAGCATACGCAAAACTAAAATTAGGTTTCAGTAGATCTTAAAGCCTTTTAATGACACTCTGACAGGTTGCAGAAAAAATTATGAACAAAATTGGTAGAGACAAGCAGAAATTCTTTCATTAACGAATTAGAAGAGAGTAGGTGTCAGGAAATGACTGACAATAGCAGGATGTTGCTGGACATAAGTTCTTCGTTTGTCACTAACGATGGGGCCGTAGGAGCGAGTAGTGCGCCTGTTGCCTATTCCAAATCTAATGAGACACACACTCAAGAAGCACGACGAGCCCGTCAAGGTGCTTGAGAGAGAGCTACACATCCGAACGGAACAAACATCGATGTTAACGTTTGTGGAGGAATGCCAGAGTAGTTGGAGTTGCCAAACTGCGCAATCTTTTCCTGCGAGCATTGTTTGATTTTTTGTTGATAGAGAAAGAACAATAGCATGATTGACGGAAACTACTAGAATGTTCGAAAGTTGCCAGTACATTGCCTAATCTTGCAAAACATAGCGCGTTTTAGCCCTCACATGAATAAAACAACAAAGTCCAAAATTTTTTTAGTCGCGATTACCATGTACTTCCCTGAGAACTGTAATTTACGCTAGTTTCCTAGCACCCTCGAGAATGGGTCGTTTTTTGAAAGTTACTTGCATATATTATTCAAATTATTCAAATGACTTGTTTTTACTTGTAAATAATCAAATAACCTCTAAAAATTTCAAAAACTGAAATTGGTCTTTGAAAAGATTTCAAAGACGTGACTGCGCCATGCCTTCTTTTTGAAATTTTGAGCTAAGGGCCCGCAAAAATTTAGAAAGCATCCCAAATTTGGAGTGCGTGGCGAACGTCACGCACCTTCATTCGATAATTATTTTTGTCGTGGTTTCCAATCCCCCCCCATCTCCCCGAACGGAATTCCTGGGTACGCCACTGTTTCATAGTATGCTTATCAAGCGTCTTCGAGCTCGTGCCAGCTAGTTTTCAGCCCCTCTTCCCATTTCCCCTCCCCCCTCCACTCTACCACTGAAAATGGGACGCGAAATTTTTAAAGAGTAGCTTACATGCGCTACAAAACCGTGCAAGTAATCTGCTTTGCTTGTGAATGATTTTCAGATCTTGTCAAAATACATTAGGCAAATAAAATAAAATCTTTCTTTTCTTCTTATTCTACAAAATTTTCCAAGAACTTTTATGTGCCTCGAAAACTCAGAAAATGTTCAGAATACTGAAATTTTCTACCACGTTCTTCAAAAAATTCCTTTAGTTCCCTCCCTCCTTGAAATAAATTGATCGGACTGCCATTGCAGACTAATTACA